TTTCTCACCTCTCGAGCAGAAGCGTTTCACTGCCTTTGCTCCGTGGAAACCGGGCGGCTTCGGGAGTATCTGAGCGCCGCTTCTTGAGATTAATTGGGCGTCACGGCTGAGCCACGTGCGGGGGGCAGCGGGAGTGGCGGCGGAAGAAATCGGACTTCTCGCCGCGGGACACCGGAGGGGAGCCGTTTCCTCCTCCTCCTCTTCTTCCTGCACCTTTTCCAGTCTGCGGCTCTTTCTCGCGCCAGTGCCTTCCTTCAGCACCGGCTCCTGACGCGGCGCCAACTCAAAGCTGGGCAATAAAATCTGGTGCTCAGAAAACGGCGCGGAGCTGAGACGGAGGAAACGCGAGCCGGGTTGAAGGCCGCGGGCAGTGGGAGGAAAGACTTTCCCTCGCCCATTTTTCTCTCTCTCTCATCTGATATCCTTCACTCCGACCGTTTCCAAAGAGGAGCGGAAAGGCGGCCAGAGGACCGGGCTGCCTCTTTTCGGTTAGACCGGCGAGGGTGGACTAGCGCGCGCCGCGCCCGGTCTTCCTGCTCGCCGGCCTCACAGCGGGGGGACGGGGGACGGGAGGGGGATAAGCCTTGCAAGGAGGGGCGCTGCGCTGGATTACGAGGAAGCGATGTCTAAAGCCCGAGGCAGAGCTGTGCTTATTCTGAGCCTTCTATTTCTGACAACTTCCCTTGCTGCTGTCAAAGGGCTGCCCTTGAAGAAACAGCGCAGTCCCAATCCGAAAGAAACGGACTACACCTTGGTGGAGGTGAGTGTATGCCTATCCTGCCTTCTTCAGGCAAGCCTCCGCTTAGAGGCTTCCTGACCATTCCACAGCCTTACCTGGGATGCTCTCTGAAAGTTTTGAAGAACATTATAACCTTAGCAAAAGATGAATCAAGACTCTAAAGTCCAGCTGCTGTTACTGCTGGAACATGTTCCCTGTAGCGTCATCTCTGCCCTGAAGGTTCCTGTAAGGTTTATTTTCTCTTCAGTTTTGTGGCCAGAGATGAAGGCAGGAGCCCCTCTGTCTCCTGCTGCTTATTCCTGACCTACAGGCGTCATTCTCTCCCTTTATGACGCCTGTCCTTGTCTTGGCAGGGCATAATTGACCTGTCACAGACAGTGGGTAAATGGTGGCTCCAGTTGGGGAGGGGGGGAGAGCGAGCAGCAGAAGCAGCTGCTGCTGCACCTTCCCTACAGATCCGGAAGGAGGCTGCTATATTTGTTTGCTTGCTTGCTTGCATGTGTGGAATGCATGCCCACCACTGGCCGCAGCATGGGGTGGTCTCTGACTTGTGGTTGGATGTGCTTTTTTTTACTCTTTCATTTCTTTAGCAATTAAGCCCTCTTGTCTCCTACTTTGTCCTTTTCTGAGGTTGCATTTGCAGCACAACACGGGCACTGAACCATTGCCCATTCTGAAAGGGGCTTATTGTGCCCAATGCTTTAACCTTTTGGAGCCATTTTTCCTTTTGAGATGTGCCAGATTATTTTAGTCAGAATTATTTGGGGGGGGGGGAAGATTTGAAAAGAACTTCGAGGAAAGGGAAGGAGAGTGCCCTTTTGCTGGAGAAATGTCTGTTTCTCAAAGAAAATCAAAATAGTATGTATTTATTTTCACTTCAGATTGCAAGAATTCTAACAAGTCTAATCAATCCAGAACTATAAATCAGCCCATTACTATTATAATATTTTTTTTCCTGTTTTCTATTCTTTGTGCTGCCCAAAACCAGTTCTCTCATTCTGAACATTAGTGTGGTTGGCTCTTTTGAACCGTTAAAGCATTTAAATTTGGTAAATGAATGAAAAATTAAATCTATTGCCTACCACCACCACCACCCCAGCCCCCAATAAGAACTAGAAATGCTGTGGTTCTGTATGTTTCTGTTGACTGGAATTATTATCTCCCGTCATAAATGCAAGAGCTTGCATTTCATTTTTTACTATTTTTTTTCCTGTAATATCAACCCAATTGGTAATGTTGCATTCAGCAAATGAATATTGAATATGGCAACTCATTTTAAAGAAAATACATTGCCAGAAGGGAGATATTATGCTTATACCTGGCATTGATTAAGAAATTATCAGATAGTGGCTATTGCCATTTGGGGATTTTTCATTCTTTGGGTCACCTTAATAATGACTGACTTCCCAGGTAACACAATAATATAGATAAAAGAACTGGCTTCAGAACTTTTAATTAGCCAATTTTTCTGCAGAGGTACTTGTGTTCCGCATAGCTTTCTGTTCTAAACACACTCCAATTAGTGGGGAAGGATTGGGCAGAGCAGATTTTGAGATGTTTCTAAAGCAGCAGAGAATGCTCAGGGTCACTCTTAAATCATCAATATATGTTTTGCTGTAGTGTTCTTTCTAAGAGCAGGCCCTAAATGTCTTTATCTAATATTTTCTCTCTTTCCATAGAACTGCAGCTGCAGTTACCAGCTGTTTCCTAAATCTAAACTTTACATAGGCTTTTTTCATACTTTTTCTTCTAGACTGGATACAAACATAGAATCCCCAATAGTTTTCAATGCTGAAATGTTTCTTGCTGCCAAAAGCCATTTAGGTGAGCACTGTTTATTCTGCAGCTGCTGTTTGTGTTTGATACATCTCTTTTTGCTGGCTTTCTGTCCAGCAGCTGCTCCCAGGTGGCGAAGCTTACATTCTTCAGCTGTTGGGCTGCACATGTACAGGAAATTGGGAAAGCATGCTAACCTTTGAAGTCAGCAAAGGGCTTTTTGATCTGGATGTATTGAGGCAAATGGATTGCCATGGATGAAGTGGCTTCCTCATGTTGTCCACCTGGAAGGGCTCCTTTTGTAAGGATATTGCAGTTCACTGTGAATGTCCCAAAAAGCAATAGTTCACTGTCTTCCAGAAGAGGAGAGCTGTAAGAGATCTCTGAACATATTGAGATTAAGAACTGAGGAAAGGGAAGGAATTTCACGAAGCCTATCTCAGCCAGATGCTAAGTTGACATTTTGAATTACAGCCCTACAAGTTAGTCAACCAATAGCTGTCTGTCTGTCTGTCTGTCTATCATCTATCTATCTATCTTATCTTATCTCATGGTGCGTGGTGCTAAATATGATGGCAACAATAGTCCAATATCTTTAGAGGCATCAGACTGAGCTTTATAATAAACCAAAAAAACTTTCATAATAATTCAACATATCAAGAGTTTAATTTGCACCAAGTAGTAGTAACAATATGTCAGTTAACTTCATACGTTGACTGAGAGTATAGAATAATATATTATTTTGCCTGTTGTTTGGACTGGAGTACCCCGATAAAATATCTGAAGAATGAAATCAATTTGTTGTAAGAGGCCCAGTTTGTTTTCAATAGCACTCTCTGTATGTATTAGAACACTTTTAAGTAACTGTGTGTAGTGTGTGACCACAAGGAGTAAGATTATAGCATATTAAAAACCAAAAACTCACAGATTTCATTTGTATTTTTCAGTAATCTTTTGTGTCCCAAATATCTGAAAATTTTGAACCAATATTTGAATATTTTTTATACACATTTTATTGGTTTTTTTAATTTTTACATCAAAGTGCTCAGGAAAACACTGTGGTGAAAGGGTAATCAATCATAACAAAACAAGTCATATATATATAATTAAAATTATTTTTAGTAGTCTGGTTTTATTATGAGGATGTTATGCTTACAACTCTTTCTGCTGAACTTAGAAAACAACACAGCATCAGTCACTAATGAAATTATGTAAACTTTGCAGTGTCTTTTCTTAACACTCTAAAATGTGCTAAGTTTTATATCAGAACTAATTGAAAATCCTATTAAATCCATAGGCAAATTGTCTTGAATTATTCCATTATGGCTGCTAAATAATTTTTTTAAAAGTTTAATGTGTGTGTAATTCAGCCACTATCTACAAGCCAGTTGCACCCATTTTTGCTACTGTTAACTTTTCAAATTTCTGAAAATGGTACCTGGATTCTATCTTCTCTCAAAACTTCTTAGAGAGATGTGCTAAATTGTATTTGTAATGCTTTTGTTCTTGACTGACTGAAGGTATTTTAGTCATGGCAAATAATTCTATGCAAGCATGGCTTCATGGTATTTTTAGCGGAAATTCAGATATCTTAGTTAATCAATATATATATTTTTAATTTGTCTAGTATGCATGTCTATTTCATCATAGATTTGGTGGTTTTTACAGTTGCAAAGATTGAAACCCTGCAGCTATTGATCTTTCTGGCTTTGCTTTTACATTGCAAAAACAATCTATGGCTCTCAGACTGAAATGTTTCCAACTATTTGCTTCCTAGCTTTTTAAAACAGACCTATAGCTAAAGAATATATCTAGGACCTTTTGCCTATAATCTATATTACATGTTGATTATTATTTAATATTATTTTACATTACATGTCAGACTGTTATGAATACTTTTAATAGAAAAAAGTATTAAAGATTGCTTGAAATAAATTTTCTGTCACATTAATCAAAGATCCCAGCCTTTGGGGACATATTATAATTCCAATAGAATATTGTGAACTTTTTTTTTCAGTAGGGAAACTTCCTTGTTACTAGGATTGTCAAACGTCTGGCCCTCATGTCCTCTGTCTAGCAGGTTTAGCCTTAAAATTAAATATTGTCCAGCTTTTTGGTCACCACGATGTAAAAAAGATGTTGAGACTCTAGAAAGAGTACAGAGAAGAGCAACAAAGATGATTAGGGGACTGGAGGCTAAAACATATAAGGAACGGTTGCGAGAATTGGGTATGTCTAGTTTAATGAAGAGAAGGACAAGGGGGGACATGATAGCAGTATTCCAATATCTCAGGGGCTGCCATAAAGAAGAGGGAATTAAGCTATTTTCCAAAGCAGCTGAAGGCAGGACAAGAAGCAACGGGTGGAAACTAATCAAGGAGAGAAGCAACCTAGAACTAAGGAGAAACTTCCTGACAGTGAGAACAATTAATCAGTGGAACAGCCTGCCTCCAGAAGCAGTAAATGCTCCACACTGGAAGTTTTTAAGAAGAGACTGGACAGCCATTTGTCCGAAATGGTGTAGGGTTTCCTGCCCGAGCAGGGGGTTGGACTAGATGACCTCCAAGATCCCTTCCAACTTTACTATTACTATTACTATTTTTATCTTGAGTCTTTGAGGGGAGACTGTTTTCCCAACAGTGGTCATTTAAACTTTCATATATTATGACTTGTATATTGCCTATTTTTTCTTTCTCTAGTCTGTCAACAGACTTGACAGCTTAGATTTACATTATTTAATTTATCTCCTGATTCCATCAATCAGTTTCTATCCAAACCCTTGAAATCCACAATTGCTGTAGTCTGTAGATCACATGAGTCTGTAGTGGAATTTGAAAATTGTTAATTTTATGTTATTGATAGCATAAAATAAAGATTTGTTGGAAAAATACTGTGATTGAAAAATCAGTATTTCTGATGCTGGAAAATATAATTTCATATACTAGTACATGTAGGCCTAAATACATTTTTTGCAGTTTCTCGCTGTGATTTTTGTCAAGGATATCACAGTTAGTGTATCTTGGTTTCCCTCCCCCCACACTTGTCCTCCTTTCTAATTATTCATGTCCTTCTCTGCCTGTTCAGATAGCTGGTAACCCTACTTGTTATAAACTTTAAGTTGTCTTATCTGGAGACCAGAGGGGGTTATTATTCCATTAATTAAGTCAGTGACGTACTTCAAGCAAGTCAAAGTCTGTCTGAGCTGCTTGTGGACTTTGCAAGTTTTGTTTCCCACTGATTTATTAAGCTTCCTCTTCTGCCATCTCCTATTGGTTTAGTGGATATAACTGCAGGTTGAAGATCCCCCTCCAAAACTTGTCTGCCTCTCTCTGAATATAGATAAACAAGCCACATTTCAGTCTGTTTCCTTCTTTCCAAAGAAAGGTCAAAGAGCATAATACAGCCAGGAAGGAAGCAGGTGGTAAAAGTAGCTTTCCTGGTCAAAACAATTAAAAGTAGCATTGAAGCCTTTTGATGGCTAGCCAGAAAGCCTGTTCTCAGTGGTTGGTCACAGCAGTTTTAATCCAGTTAAAAGTGAGAAAGGAACAGTGCCAACTTAATGGAGACTCACTGTGTTTCTGATCTGGGGCCAGAGGGAGCTATTATATATAAGGTTACTGTGGTTTCAACTTTGTATATAATCTCTTCTGCCACCATTCACAATGATCCTCTATTATCAAGGTTTTTCAAATTGTTTTCTGTGGAATATGAGGATTCTATGAATAACTCTCCACACTAGGTTTCCTCAAACACAGCCAATTTCTTTTCACTGGAGATTTGCCTCTTGATCAGGGTTCCAGGAATTTCCTTCCTTCCCCTTCCTTCCTTCCTTCCTTCCTTCCTTCCTTCCTTCCTTCCTTCCTTCCTTCCTTCCTTCTTCCCTTCCCTTCCCTTCCCTTCCCTTCCCTTGCCTTCCTTGATGTTCATACTAGAGTAAAAGAGGGCAGAATCTCAATTTATCTGGAGGATACCTCTGTTCACTGGTGATTAGTCAAAAATTGTTCAGACAGAACTTACATTGTGTTTTTATAGCTTTTTAATTTACCCCCAGTCTCTTCAATAATTAATTTATATATGCATGTTTATATTAAAATGTCCACATTAGGGTCCCATTTGGCAACAGCCTGTCTATTACAATATTCTGTTGTATTTTGAACAAGTGCCCTAAATAATTTAAAAATGGTAAAGTCTGTTAATTGTGCAATTTCTAGAGGAAGTAATTTTTGCATTTGTGGTTCGGACCATAGCAAATCCAGGGGCTATAGGCTAAATCAATAGTCAACACAAACAGAAGAAAGCAATAGCTTTGGGAAACATTTCCACCCTGTTGCCAAGTAAACTACATGGAGATGTCCATGTAGTCATCAGGATTTCGGCTCAAGGAAACCTTTTATCTATTTTGATAACCCAACCTCCTGATGTTAAATAAAGCTTTTTTCTTTTGAGATGTGAAAACTGAGCTTTGCATTTGATCATCCTCTGGGTTAAATCCTGAATTAAGCTAACCAGATTTCAGTGATGCTTTTATACAGTTCAAGCTAATATACCAATTATACCCATTCCTAGGAATGCTGGATTAGGTTAAGATAACACATTTTATTTGGACTTTTTTGTACCTACATGATAGAATGACCAGAAGACAATCTTCATTAAGAACTTTCATGATATGAGGAATTTATTCAGAGGCTTTCAGCCAAGTATCAAGCTCTCATTTTGGTTTCTCTTCATAAATATTTTAATGTAAATTGTGAAAAGGATTCATTATATTTTACGGTAACTAAGGGCCACATTCATTCTTTCTTGCATTCAAGTTAACATACTATCAACTATTGAGGTCTCTTAGGAAAATGAAGTAAAAATGAGAATTAGAGATATTAGAAACAATTTATTTCCACAATTAAAGACACCAGCAAAAAGGTTAGATTTCCCCAAGTCAGAAGGGAAAGAACTGGAGCAATGCAAGGAAGTCTCAGCTGAGCTTTTGAGAAAAGCCCAAGAGCTGAAGTGGAATGGTGTGAAGATATACAGGGGCTGAACGGAGATTATTGCTTTTGTTTTCCTGATTTTTGAAGGGAAAATTGAGGTCTTACTTTGGACATTTTAAACTTCTTTAAGCTATTTTAGTGCTTACACAAAACTTTTCATGCATTTTCTGTCCCTGTAATTAAGTCAGAGGAGAGGGACTGCAAAAAAAGGGACTTGGGGTCTGGTCTGCAGGGTGCCTCTCCCTGAGTTAACGGAAGAGGCTTTTTTTGTTGATACTTCCTAGTAACTAATCTCTTTTCTAGAAAGCTTTGCACCAGATGAGGCACAGACCTTGATCACTGTTGCTTGTCAGGGAGAGAGATGATAGAGTCCAACCACCCAAATAAACAGAACCAAACAGATGGAACCTTTTCTTTTAATTTTGGTATCTGAGATTCAATGTACCCTGTCTGAAGAACCTGGTCTCAGGGCTGACAGAAATAAAAGTATTATTATTATTATTAGGTTTCCCAGTTTCACTAAACGTAAAAGAAGCTGGGCGGAGCATTGATTTTGTTGGAGCAATGGAGCTGAAAGAAATAACAGTTTGTCTTTTCTTCATTTGCTGTTTTAATGGTCAAAACCTGTGCTTTTCTCCTGTTCTCGGTGGGCCTTATCTGGTAATTAGACCCCAAAAATCCCACTATTCAGCCTTGAAGTGCTTTGTAAGCCTTGATTAGAAGGATATCTCTGCCAAATTGAGCAATCACATTTCTTTCAGTCTTAAAACTGAAATTTGCTTTGGGGATCAGAAATATTACCACAAGCCCTTTTGCCAGTGCTGGTCCCACTCCTTAATAAAAACATCAGCGACCAGCAATCTTTCTGCTGTTTTCTCTCATTTTCACTGTGGGAGAGGAAGACAGGCTCCAGGGCTTTGATGTGCAGCCCTTGTAAATCCATCGATGATGCCTTATATGTGCGCTCATGTGAGTCCCAACCAGCTCCAGCTCCTTTGAAGTGCTCCAGTGACCAAGATGAAAGTAGTGGAGGGGGAAGAGTCTTTCAAAAGCCATCAAGCCCTAATTGCAGGTAATAGAGCCTCTTGGTATCCCATATGGAGGAAGGGGGAGCATCCCCAGTTTCTCTAATCCTGCAGCTAAATTCTGGGCTCCTGCAGTGAAAGGAAGTAGCCTACAGAGAACAAGACTTGGGGAACGCAAGCTGAACATTGGGAAATAGCTCCTTGCAGTAAGTTATGGTGGGCCTGCAGAAATAGTCTTTCAAAGAAAGTTTGGGACAGGCTTCCATATTGTGGCAATGGTGCTTCAGGAGGTGTAGTCTAACACATGTGGAAGATTCCAGACTTTGGAAGACTGATTCAAAAAGATCATTGGTAAAAATCACTACAGTGCATGTTAGCTTGCATGTAAATCATTCCCATATTACGTTCTTTGGAGTGTTTATATTAATTAATTTTCCAATTCACAGCCAACGCCCATATTTTTTCATTTGTAATCATAGAACTGGAAAAAAAAATACTCCAGTGAGTTGAATTCCATCTTTTATAATGCTGCAGAATATAAAGTATGGAAAGAAGTGCATTAACTGTTTGAAACAGTATAATCAGGAGCCCAGAATTAAGTTATTTTCATTGCCCTGATTTCTTTGAAGTTTCTCTGAAACTTTTAAACATTTTGTGTTATTTTAATGAGGGACTACTGATAATCAAGAAACTGACAGTTAGTTGGGATGTGATTGCTATTCATGATTACAATTTTTAAGTAACTAGTGAGTCAATTTGTTTGCTTAGATTTTCTGCAAAATACATGCTCCTAATTTCATCGTGGTCTGAATGTGCAATTGGCGACATTGTAGGATAAGGCTTTTCCAACAGTAAAGTCTGGAGAATATAGTTCTTCTTGAGTGACCATCATCAGAGCCTGCTCTATCTTGTCTTATATGCAAGGAAAGGGCTTGAGCATCATAGGTGTTGTAGTCTAACATGTCTGGTGGGATAAGTGAAAGCTGGATCTTCATCAGGCAGTAGGACTACAACTAACTTTCATTTTAGATTGCCACATCACCCGATGTTTCTTCATTCAAAGAAGAAATACCACAGCCACACAGGATGCAGAACTTGAGGCTGAATGGACAGGTGATACCAGATCAACACAAACACCATTGGCCATTGCAACAGGCTTCAAAGAACCAGTTGGCATCACTCCAGCCTGCGGAAATACTCTCCGAAGAGAAAACACCTTTTGTACTGGACTTACAAAGCCTGACAGGCTTAGCCAATGTGGATCTGAATGCCCAGAATCCAAACATACAGGTAGGCTAAAACTGTTCTTACTTTTAAAAAAAAAAAGTTTTATTAATTTTTCAAATTTTAACATCCAGATACTTAGGAAGCAGCGTGGTGCTAGAGAAATCAGTCAATAACAAAATCATTCATATATATCTCAGGTTACATCAATAACATTCCCTCACTGTTTCCCGCAAATATTATATCATATTCATGATAATAAGTTTCTAAGTAGGTTCAATCAATCAATACATTTATCAATAGTATTTTACTTATATATATCCAAGTCCTGTTTAGAGGTTTTATTTAATTCCAATTTATATATTCCAATTTAGCCTTTTATAACCAATGTTTAAACTTGATTTCCCTCATTTCATTATAATATAATTAACATAACTAAAATACACATATTATTTCAAAATTTACCTTCTTTATAGACAAATATATTCTGATTCTCATTCTAATAACTCCTCCTTTAATAACAATATATCTTTCATTATCACAAATCTTTCCATATAACAATTAAAGTTATAGTCTAACAGTTAATTTTAACTGCCATTATAAATCTAAGTGCTAAATATTAAAAAAAACCCGTTATCTCTAAAAAGCTGCTTTACCCATTAAGTAAATTTCTAATTCCCATTTTTAAATCTGGCTTTCCTTTTGTGCCAAGTAGGTTTCCATGCCAGTACCTCTAAAACTTCGGATGTATCTCCCTTCATTCCTACACCTGTTGTTTGAATCAAGGGAGAACCTCCAGTTATCAGTCTTTCAAAAGAACTGGCCCCTTTGTAATTGTTTTTTTTTTTTTTTTATTAAAAGTTTTATAAATTTTACAAAAAAGAAAAAAGAATACAAAACAAGAGACAACATATACAAAAAATTAAAACTAAACAATACATATTAAAAAAAAAAAAAAACCCCACCCCTCCCAAAAACCCCCCCCTCCCTTCCCCCCCCCTGAGCTTCCCAGAGCAGAATATAGGCTTAAAAAGTAAAAATAAAAATTAAATTAAGAACTTTATATTTATATATATAAAAAGATTATCTATAATATATATAAAAATAAAACTTATGAAAAAACTATATAATATTTTTGTATACCCAATCTAAATTGTATAAATTTTATCCATTTATCCCAAACAGCAAGAAACTTCTCTTGCGTTTGTTGCTTTAAGAAAGCCGAAATCTTTGCCATTTCCGCCAGATAAGCTACTTTAAGAAACCATTCCTGCAATGTAGGCAAGGATTCCTTCTTCCAATATTGTCCTACTAACAGCCTAGCGGCTGTAATCAAATTTAACATCAATACAACCTCCTTTGTATCACAATCTGTAACAATACCTAACAAAAATAATTGCGGAGTAAATTTTACCCTCCTTCTAAAAATTCTCTGGATATTCCACCATACTTTGATCCAAAATGCTTTTATCTCTCTGCATGACCACCAAATATGATAATAGGAAGCCTCCTTATAACCACATCTCCAACATTTGGGTTGCACGTCAGGGTACATATAAGACATTTTTTGTGGATCAAGGTGCCATCTATAAAACATTTTATAAAAATTCTCCCTTAAATTCTGTGCTTGTGTAAATTTGACATTTCTCACCCAAATTTTTTCCCAGGTGTCCAATGAAACTGGCTCACCAAAATTCTGCGCCCATCTTATCATACAATCTTTAATTAGTTCCGTTTCTGAATCCAATTCAACTAAAACCGCATAAATTCTCTTAATGTGGGTTTGTCTTGAATCCTTCACTTGCTTAATAAGATTTTCATCTTCTCTAAGAAAACCCACCTTACAATCCATCTTCCATCTGTCTAATAATTGCCTATATTGGAACCAAGAATAAATAAAGTTTTCTTGTGCTAACTCTTCCCGTGATTTTAATTGCCAGTTTTGTCCATCCCATTTAAGTAACTGTCTGTAGGACACCATATCCATTTTAACCCCTCTTTTTATTGCTTCTATCGCATGCCAAGGTATAGCCCATAATGGTACTTTGAAATCACTTTTATAATATTTTCTCCAAATCCTAAGTAAAGAGATTCTTAAGATATGAGATTTAAAAGTCCAATCCATTTTTTTATTGAATATTAAATAGGCATGCCACCCATAAAGTAAGTCCCATCCCTCTAGATAAAGTATCTCAGAGTTTGTCAAATTTACCCAATCACTGATTAGTGTTAAAACCACCGCATCATAATATAATTTCAAATTTGGTACCTTAAGTCCACCCCTAATAATTCAAATCTCCATGTTTGGTTTAGGGTATTTATAGTCGGTAAAACTGTTCTTACTTGACTAGCCACAGACACATCAAAAGTGGAAGAATCCTTTGTATCTCTCTCCCTTTCTCTCTCTCCCTCCCTCCTCTTTTCTATAGGCTTCATTTTTTTCTCCCCATTAACTCAATTGAAGTGAGTGAGCATGAGAACTGTTAACTGCCCTAAAACAATCCGGTGGTTTTCATGGGGGATAGCAAAATTGCTTCTAATATCCCCAAAAAAGAATGACTGTGAAATATATAATTTTGTTTATTGACTTTTTTTAGATTAAATTTTTACTATGGTCTTTAAGATTATTTCAATAAATAAATAATAGCAATAGCACTTAGACTTATATACCGCTTCACAATGCTTTACAGCCTTCTCTAAGCAGTTTACAGAGTCAGCATATTGTCCCTAACAATCTGGGTCCTCATTTTACTGACCTCGGAAGGATGGAAGGCTGAGTCAAACTTGAGCCAGTGAGATTTGAACTGCTGGCAGCCGGCAGTCAGCAGAAGTAACCTGCAGTACTGCATTCTAACCACTGCGCCACCAAGGTAATGTGAAAATCAAATTGAAAACTATGAGATCGATATTAATTGCATGAATGTTGGAGCCATACATAGAATAGTGTAGTATTAATCTACTTCTAAAGATGTTTGTTATAGTTTTACATCATTTAATACAATAAAGATTAAAAAGATATTAAAAGGTAATACAAGCTCATGACTATAACCTTTATCTAAACTATTTAATCAGATCTTACATTATTTAGAGTGAGAAAGGGAAGAAAAGAAGAAAAAATGTGATATTGTTTATCTTTCCTTAACTGGTATCTCAACTTAATGGACCAATATTTTCAGAGTTAATAATACAAATTTAACAACTATGAGTGCCAGCTAAATAAATGAGCTTATTAGAGCGCTGGTGGCCAGTGGTTAAAATGCAGTACTGCAGGCTACTTCTGCTGACTGCCGGCTGCCAGCAGTTTAGCGGTTCAAGTGTCACCGGCTCAAGGTTGACTCAGCCTTCCATCCTTCCGAGGTCAGTAAAATGAGGACCCAGATTGTTCGGGGCAATAGGCTGATTCTGTAAACCACTTAGAGAGTACTGTAAAGACATAGTCTAAGTGCTGTTGCTATTATTGAGTTGTCCCTCCAAATAAGTACAAAGCAGAACCGTATTATATTTGTATACACAATAGGGAAAATTATATTCAAAACGGCATAAGAGAAGGACTTTATTTACTTTCCTGTACCTCTGTCTACTTAATTGAACTCAAATACTAAAATAAGGGTATAAAGAATCTTGGAGCTGTGAGATAGAGTTCCTAGTCCAGTTTCCAAGATACAGTGCATATGAGTTATATTAATTCAATCGTTGCTGTATACAGTTAATTAATGTGTGTCTTACAGAATAAGATTGTTTTTATGTTTCTCCATTTCTGTCATTCATTGACTCATTTGTTTTACAAGAAAGAAGTTAAAAAGGTATGTTCACATTCAGTTGACTAATTTCCCTGAAAATGTTTAGAATGTATGTTTCTTTTCATTCACTCTGAATGTTAGATAAACAGCAAGCTGGATAAATACTGATAAATATTAGAAGATATATTTTGTGTAAATCATTTTGATAAAGGCACTGGGCTACACACTGTAAGATTTTGAGCCCTATCTTATGCACAAAGCTGGGTCAGTGACTTTGGGCTAGTTACTCCTTCCAAGTGACTTTGGGCTAGTTACTCCTTCCAAGTGACTTTGGGCTAGTTACTAAGCTAATTTGGTCTAGTGGTTAAAGCACCAGGCTAAAAATCAGGCAACTGAGTTCTAGTCCCGCCTTAGGCATGAAAGCCAGCTGGATGACTTTAGGCCAGCAACTAGGGTGACAAGCCAGTTGGCTGGTCAATTCCTGCTGCTGTCAATGAATCAACACTTGGATGATCTAAAAAGTGGAAGCAGACCTTGTAGTTGTGGAAAAAAATGCTAAAAGAAGATTCTTTCTAAGCCCTATGAAGAATTCATGGGCAAACCACTTCCAAAAAAATGTTGCCAAGAAAACCACATTGTCTTGTCCATGTAGCTGTTAGGAGTCAAGACTTAGTAAACGGCACAAATTATTTTATTTGCTGTGTAGCAGGTAGAGGTTGAATATTGTACCACTTATAGAATATGGTAAGAACTATCAGGTCCCATTTTTAATTTAAAAACTTTCTGTGTCTGCCTCTTTTTTACTACCTTGTGGCTCTGAAAGTCTATTCTAAAATCATTCATTGCCTGACATTGCACATAAGAGCATTTTAACTTTGGAATTGTTGTTGTTCAGTTGCTAAGTTGTGTCCGAGTCTTCACAACCCCATGGACTATAGCACACCAGGCTTCCTATCCTCCACTGTCTTCCAGAGTTTCCCAAATTCATGTTCATTTTGTAGAGTAGGCAAAACTTAGTGATACTCACTGATGAAATATGTTTAGTTCTTCTAACTCATTATAAAATGGTGATAGATACATTTATCATTATTAAATACTGATGGCTGAGAACAGGTTTAAATATTAGGGCTCTTCAAAGTTCTTGAAAGGAAGGCCTCAGTGCATGGGAGCAAATTCAAAGCAACCTCTATCAAATACCTAAAGTAATTATTTCTCTTTCTTTTAAGAGTTCAAGAAAAAATGCTTTATATACAGTCCTGCATATTCCAAAGGAACTCTTTCAAATAATTTGTTAAATCTTATTTGTTACTTACGTTATTTTAATGTTTTTACAAGAATTGTGCTAGATCACATCCAAAGCTTATGTGATTTATCATGTTATTTTCACAGTAGTGAAAATAAAGATGCCTATCTTCATGCTGCCTGCCTATAAATAATAATAATAAAGTTGGAAGTGATCTTGGAGGTCATCTAGTCCAACCCCCTGCTCAGTCAGGAAACCCTATACCATTTCAGACAAATGGCTGTCCAGTCTCTTCTTAAAAACTTCCAGTGTTGGAGCATTCACCGCTTCTGGAGGCAGGTTGTTCCACTGGTTAATTGTTCTAACTGTCAGGAAATTTCTCCTTAGTTCTAGGTTGCTTCTCTCCTTGATTAGTTTCCATCCGTTGCTTCTTGTCCTGCCTTCAGATGCTTTGGAGAATAGTTTGACTCCCTCTTCTTTGTGGCAGTCCCTGAGATATTGGAACACTGCTATCATGTCCCTCGTCCTTCTCTTTGTTAAACTAGACATACCCAATTCCAGCAACCGTTCCTTATATGTTTTAACCTCCAGTCCCCTGATCATTTTTGTTGCTCTTCTCTGTACTTTTTCTAGAGTCTCAACATTTTTTTAAATTGTGGTAGCCAAAACTGGATGCAGTATTCCGAGTGTGGCTTACCAAGGCATTGTAAAATGGTATTAATACTTCACGTAATCTTGATTCTATCCCTCTTTTAATGCAGCCCAGCACTGTGTTAGTTTTTTTGGCAGCTACAGCACACTACTGGCTCATATTTAAGTGATTGTCCATTAGGACTCCGAGATCCCTCTCACAGTTACTACTATTGAGCAAGGTACCCCCTATACCAGTGATGGCGAACCTTTTAGAGACCGAGTGCCCAAACTGCAACCCCAAACTCACTTATGTATCGTCGGGTGCCAGGTGGGCATGGTCCATTGGGTGGGCATGGCTACGGTGGTAATGACAGACTGGGTGGGACTAAAAAATTCAGTCAGTTCCAACTTTGCGAGATCTTTTTTTTTCTGTGAGAAGTTGAAATTGATTGATTGATTGACCCTTTTTTTTTTTTTTTGCACATGGAGGGGAGAGGCCTAAAGCGAAAAGATTTTATAAAACCCAGCTGAAGACCTAGGATTGGGTCTCTGGCACGCATGCCATAGGTTCGCCACCACGGCCCTATACTATACCTGTACATTTGTTTTTTCTTGCCTAAATGTAGAACCTTACTTTTTTCACCATTGAATTTCATTTTGTTAGATAGTGCCCAGTGTTCAAGTCTGTCCAGATCCTCCTGTATCTTAAGCCTGTCTTCTAGAGTGTTTGCTATTCCTGCCAGCTTGGTGTCGTCTGCAAATTTGATGAGTTCCCCATCTATCCCCTCGTCCAAATCGTTGAAGATGTTGAAGAGCACTGGGCCCAGAACAGAGCCCCGAGGCACCCCACTACACACTTCCCTCCGTGTAGATGCGGCTCCATTGAGGACCACACACTGAGTATGGCCGGTCAGCCAGCTACGAATCCATCTGGTGGTGATGCTGTCTAACCCACATTTTTCTATCTTATCAAGTAGTAGGTTGTGATCTATTTTATCAAATGCCTTATTGAAGTCCAAGTAAATTATATCCACAGCATTCCTCTGATCTACTAATTTTGTCACTTGGTCAAAGAATGCAATAAGATTTGTCTGGCATGATCTGTTTTTGACAAACCCATGTTGGCTTTTAGTAATGACTTTGTTTGCTTCTAGGTGTTTGCTGATTCGTTATTTGATTATCTTTTCCAGAATCTTCCCAGGTATTGAGGTCAAGCTGATAGGTCTGTAATTTCCTGGATCCATTTTTTTTCTTTTTTTGAAGATGGGAACTACATCAACTCTTTTCCAGTCCTCTGGTAGTTCCCCAGTGCTCCAGGATCTTTGAAAAATATAGTTCAGTGGTTCTGAGATCACATCTGCCAGTTCCTTGAGAACCTTGAGGTATAATCCATCTGGTCCTGGTGATTTGAACTCGTCTAGGCTGGACAGGTGCTCACTTACCATTTTCTTGCCTATCTTAACTTGTGTTTCTATTCTGTTTTTTATGACACTATTTTTGATAGGTTGGTCTGTTTTTTCCCTTTGTGTAAAAACAGATGCAAAAAATGAGTTAAATAGTTCTGCTTTCTCCCTATTGCTTGTCACCTTCTTGCCACATTCACCCACTAATGGACCAATCATTTCCTTCACCTTTTTCTTGTTTTTTACATGTTGAAAGAAGCTTTTTTGGTTATTTTTGACTTTGATCGCAAGCCATAGTTCATTATGAGTCTTAGCTTTCCTCACTTCATCTTTGCAGGCTTGGGCTATTTGCTGATATTCTGATTTAGTTATGTGCCCCTCTTTCCACTTTCTATATTTGTCCTTTTTATACTGAGGATAATTCATAGTTATTGTGGTTTGTAGCCATGGATAGCCTTATTTTCTATTAATGTGCTTGGCCCTCCTTTTAAAGCTGTAATGGTCGTATCTATCATTATATTCATAACAAGATACCTTTCTTAACTATGCAGTTTGCAAATGGCTATCTTCTCTGAATGTTTCACCGTGGAGCTTTACTGGATGATTCCAGATTCAAAAGCTATGAAAGAAAGAGGGAAAGAAACATTATCACATTCACACAATCCATAATTTATATCCCTCAAATAAAGGTAAAGGTTTCCCCTATCCAGTCATGTCTGAGTCTAGGGGTGGTGCTCATTTCCATTTCTTAGCCGAGGGAGACAGCATTGTCTGAAGACATTTCCATGTGACTACATGACTATATGCCGAGGTGCACTGAAGTGGTACCAATTTATCTACTTGCATTTGCATGGTTTCAGACTGCTAGATGAGCAGGAGCTGGGGCAAGGATGGGAGTTCACTCTGTCATGTGGTGCTCGGGTGTTAGACCTGAGCTGTCAGATTTCCAGTTGACAAACTCAATGTCTTTAACCACTGAGCCATTGCTCCCCCCATCCCTCAAATAGTTATGCTTAAATAGAAATAGAAAATATGCAAATAGAGCAGTGGTGGCGAACCTATGACACGGGTGCCAGAGGCGGCACTCAGAGCCCTCTCTGTGGGCATGCGCGCCGTCGCCCCAGTCCTAGGCCTTCAGCTGGGTTTTATAAAACCTTTTCGCTTTAGGCCTCTGCTGCCGTGTGCAAAAAAAAAAAAGGTTCAATCAGTCAATTTCAACTTCTCGCGGGAAAAAAAGATCTTGCAAAGTTGGAATTGATTGATTGAACTTTTTAGTCCCACCCAGTCGGCCATTACCACCGCAGCCACACTCAGCCAGTGGGCCACACCCACCCGGCACTCGACGATGCATAAGTGGGTTTTGGGTTGCAGTTTGGGCACTCAGTCTCTAAAATGTCCGCCATCACTGAAATAGAGTTTGAAAATTAATTCAGGTGGAAAGAGAATAAGTGAGTATGAAGAATAGTTTGAAAAAGCAGAGAGACAGAGCTACAAGGACAACATTTTTGGGCAATAAATATAAGATATGAAAGACATAGATGGTTGAAGGTAAAATGTGCTGCTTATCTGTTGATTTAGTGCCGATGCTTCCAAAATAGTCTGATTCAATGCCTTGACTTCCAGGTGACCATTGAAGTGGTGAATGATCCTCAAGCAGAGATAGAGATGGACTTGCTGAAGGAGACTAGTAATGATTGGTCCCTGTCTTCCTCTGAATGGTTATCTCATAAGGACCTCTTTTGGCCTCTTTTCTGGGAATACACAGATCCCATAGAGGATGGTGATGATAATTTGAACATAAAGAGCAGGGATGAAGAGGAGGAGGAGGAAGAGGAAGATTATACATCGGAGTATGATGAAGAAGAAATAGTACTGAGTGGAGTGGGGGGAAATTGGCATCAGAGGTGGCCTAATCGAAAGAATTGGATCTTAAAAGAGAAATACAACTATGGTGAGTCTACCTTTTTTGCTCTTAGTAAATCTAATCTGCTGAGTATACCCTCCTTCCATTAAGGAGCAAAGAACAATAGCTGGTGAACAGCTCATTTGATGTGATCTCAGTGTGTAGAAGGAGCTTGTTGAAACTGAGCATTTTTCATTCATGAATGGCATGGCATATGCTGCATGAAATTTACACTTCCCTTTATATTGTATACTATGAACAACTTTTCCCAACCAGACATTTATATGTTGGGATTGTTGCTGCCAGAATTCCAATCAGCATAGTCAATGACTGGGAATTCTGGAAATTGTAGCCCAAGCACATCTAGAAGATATAGGTTGTATTGGCCTGCAAGTTGAGAATTCTGAGGCAGAGTTTGATCAATGGATGGGACTTCTGGGAGCTAAACTCCCTCTTTTGTTCCTCACTAAAAAAATCTAGTAAAATGGAGCATCATTTGCAAATGAGAACATCGTCTCATATTAAGAACCATGGGGAAAAGCCTTCATGACAGAAGTATAACTCACATGGACCTCTTCTGCGTATCTTGTAGAAGGATTCTAAGTTTGTTCTTCACTAGACTTTATGTGTTTTGTTTTACTTTGTTGTTGTTGCTGCTGTTGTCTCCAGATTATGAAGATGAAGAGGATTGGAGTCCTTGGTCTTCCTGCAGTGTAACCTGTAGCAGTGGCCATCAGAAGAGAACTCGGTCTTGTGGTTATGCATGCACAGCCACAGAATCAAGAACTTGTGAGCTGCAGCACTGTCCTGGTATGTTCTAATTTTCTGGGCTGCAGTATTTCAATAGGCTTTGCTTTAACCCTTCAGAGTTACTCATTCATTCATGTCAGTCTATGGGCATGCTCTATTGCTATCTCATCTGGACCATGTGGGAATTCTTTTTGCATTTTTAGAAATTGTCTTTTCAGACATCCTATGAGAATTAATGTGGAATCTGAAAAGGAGGAAAATGCTTTTGGCTGTGATCCTTCTTCCATTCTTTGCCCTTGAATGTTGAGAAGCCCTTCTTCCTCCATTTCCTTGATATAATAAAATGAAGACATTTCTGGAACTGGATTGTCTCCTGAAGCAATATTTGATGACAGTCCTGAAAAATCAATGGATTTATTATTAATTGCAACCATTTCCACTATACCTTTATTCATCTGTTTGATACACCAGCTATATTGAGGCCATCAGCTAAAAGTCTACTGTGAAGTTCAAAATGAAGCTTTTAGCCCTTCCATATGTGGGAGCAGATTGTGGTCTTGGAAATGATAAGAAAACTGGTGGAGTTTCTATACCTGTATATCTTTTACGTAGAGCAGATGGTATCTCACAGTGTACACTCTGACCTATTTGCTTCTGTGCTTTTCTCAAGGAGAAGTTGGGGCAATGGCTTCTACCACTGAAGAGACACCATCTGAAGCTGAAAATGCGACGGAGATTCTGAATGCAGGCCAGTAAAGTCCTTGCCCTTAAGACAATAATATTAGGATTATTATTAGGGAATAACAAGAAACTGCACTGTAATGTTGATCTGTCTCATTCATACTTCCCAAAACTATATGTGAACAAAGGTATTGGTAGCCTTTGACATTCAAATTTTGCTGTCTCAATTTTTATGCTAGAACAAATAGGCATTAAAATATACAAAGTTTTGTGAAGATCTTTATTAATATTGCAAATGGATGCAGAAACAGGAAGAAATACATTTAAGAGTGGAAAATAAGAAAATGAAGTGAATTGAAGTTAACAGATCCCCCCACCTTAATTGCTACACCAAATAATTACTTTGCACCCTATCAGTGTGGCTATTTGTATCTGCTATTAATACTATTTTCAGAAAAATACATTTTCTTGTAGTAAGTAAAGATTTCAAAATAGGCTCAAGGATCTCTGTTTTACTTCTTGCTACCCACTTCTGAATTCAAGAAGCTTTGCTATTTGTCCTCCAAATATTTTGTAAATGTTTCTTACATTTGTGTGTAGTTTTAATAAATGCCTGAGCTTATTCTCCAACATGCTTAAAATCACCTGAGCCATGGAAATTGTAGTAAAAAGTATTTGCTTTCTTAGAATTTGGACACAAATTCTAAGACATAATCTCTTAATGACTTATGCTGATTTGATTCTTCCTTCCTTTCCCAGATGTGGATAGTTGTGAGAAATGGCTTAATTGCAAGAGTGATTTCCTCAACAAATACCTAAGCAAAGTGCTTTCAGACCTACCCAACTGTCCCTGCTCTTACCCTTTAGAAGCTGTTTATAGTGCTGTAAACTTGCAAGATGAGCAAAAGGGCAAGAACTTCCGATGGCAGGATGCCAGTGGGCCAAAGGAGCGATTGGACATCTACAAACCCACAGCCCATTTCTGCTTGCGTTCCATGCTATCCCTGGACAGCACCACTCTAGGTGCCCAGCACTGTTGCTATGATGAGAACACCAAGCTTATTACCCGAGGCAAGGGAGCAGGAGCGCCCAACCTCATAAACACAGAGTTCTCTCCTGAGTTACACTACAAGGTGGACATGCTGCCTTGGATCCTCTGCAAAGGGGACTGGAGTCGATACCATGCTGTGCGGCCTCCCAATAATGGGCAACAGTGTGCTGTCAACCCTCCAGAAGATGAATACCTTTCTCAACTACAGGAGGCCAGAGAGTATTAATATAGTAACCAGAAGGAGGCTGAGGAGATCAGGATGCCCCTTCTGTCTCCCTTGCTCAACAACATAACATTTATTGTTTCTCCAACCTCGCCCCAATATTTATATCAAAGGTCTCTGCAACTTCAGAATTGTATGTTATTTTGTTATCACCTTAGTAACAAGGTAAGTTTGTAGGGCAGACTAAACAATCTCCTCAGAGGTTCCAGTCCTGAGTTCTCTATAACAACCTCTGCTTTCTTTTCTGTCTTTTCTCAACACTTAGACGTTATCCCAAGCTGACTGGCTTTCAGGGATGTGTTAGAAGGCTAGCAATTGTCTGGAGGATTTGGGACAAGGGTAGAGCCCAAGAATTTAAGTGGATATCTTGATTCATTTGCTATTATGTTTGCCATGTCTTACAGTGCAGGTTGTGAATTCCTTTTGCATAAATCAGACGGGTACTCATGGTGTATGAAAGTCCAGAAATAGATTAATATCTCCAAATTATGTATTTAGGTAAAAGGAAACATTGTCAGAATCTTTGTAGAAAGAAGAGTCTGGATGTACTCTTATGTAATTTTGGCCCAATCTTAGGAAAGAAAACAGAAGACACCATCTTGGTATGTTACATTCCATACATTTCAGGGAAAACTGGACGATGAGGTAGAGATGTTAGAAAGTTAGGAATGCAAATTCCAGGATGGATATGAAACATGCTCTTCCTAAGTGGAGATGAGGCTAACCTTCATCCAAAACTGATGGAACAAACCAAATCCAGTTTCTGTCTACCTGAATAAATAACATTTTGGATTGTATAATCCTCACCCTCCCAAAACCGCCTTCAAAAGATGCTACAGGTATATGTGAAAGAATCCAGCTGCCCTGGGAAAGTCACAGTACATGTAACCTTAGTCCAACTTTCCCTACCAAATGTTCATCATTTCATATTCTCTGTCTATTAGGACAAAAGCTGGGAACTCTGAGGAGTGTATTATTAACTTTTCTACAAGACACTAGATTTGGAAAGTCTTTCCTACACCATGTCCTTGAACACCTTTCAGGATGATGGAAGACTATAGTTCAAGACCAAAATGTTCCTGCCGGCACAGCTTTGTGGTTGTGCTGGGCAGATGGTCCTTGGCAAAATCTGTATCTATGCTTACGCATTTTGTACTGAATCCTGTCAGCTACTAATCCAGTCAAATCTCTTTACTGTTGCTGCTAACACCACATGATAACACTTACCTCAGCGAAAGTCATCACTCTGCATACAGAGTCCTGACCCAATTTCTCCTGTAAGTGCCTGATATCCCATAAATCATTGTACCACGAGAGGTTTCTGGTGTCTCTTACAGCTACTGTCTGAAAGGGCCATGGGTCATAAAACCCAGCAAGTGGATAGGAAGGGAACTCCTAAAGTAATCCTGTTGAAGCTCAGCTAATCACCAGCTTCCAAAAATCTCCATGTCCCCTGGAAGGCCTGCCTGTGGAGACTTGGGTTGCAATGCTAGGGAAAACACTACTTTTATGCCAGACTACCTTAAACTGGCTTCAGATGCTTCAGCAGAAGCCTAATAATGAGATGGTTATATTGTGAAATTCTGTTGAATAACAGTTAATGGATCATTTTCATACCACTGCAAGTAGGACATACTGCTGAGGTCTTCCTGACATCAACTTTTTCCTCAGTTTAAGACAGACAGCAATGAGGTATAAAGGAAAGGGAGAGAAAAAGAAGCAAAGTAAAAGTGACAGTACTCCAAGCCACATTTATTCCAAAATAATCCCTACCTGTTCCTGCTGCCACTGTCTGTGCTGGCAGTCCTTCTATCTACCACACTCCCATTGCATCTGCTTCGCCAGTCCTTCCCCAGCATTGTATGTTTCCACAATTTGCAAAAAGTAAGTTGCCAGAAAAAAGGCATCTCCAAAATCTAATTACAAGGTCAGTCCCACCAAAGTGGCGTATGAGAAGAAAAACATGCTCGTGGAAAGAAGGAGGCCAGCCTTTTTCGGAGAGGGGGAAATGAAACAGAAAAAGACCTAGATTCCCTAGCTACAATAAAACTCCCAGGAATATTAAAACAATCCAGAAACTGAGAAACACATGCAAGTAACTTAAGGCACATTCCTGTTATGAAGAACACACAGCTGTGTTTGTCTGACTTGTGACCTATCCCCATCATCTAAGCCAGATGGAATATCAGAACATACAAACTGCACTGTTGGACACATTGCTTATTTGTATTGTGGAATAAGCTGTATTTTAAGAACTTTAGGGTAAGAATCTCTGCTGGGGTTTTCTCCTTATTTGGAATAATTGTTGGTTGTAAATACTAAAAAATGGAGCAGTGTCTGTGTACATCTTTAGCCTTTGCAGCCAACCAATCTAAGGAGACATGTTCAGTGACAACTAAATGTGAAAATAGGTTTTATAATGGAGAACCTGGATTGCCTAGCCATTCTATAACTCAACTCATTTTCTTGCAGGATTAAATAGGGAGGTCTCTATAGCTATCCCATCTTAGATTAGGTTAGGATGTTTGCATAACAGGGCTAAGCAAGGAAAGGCCCCTTAACTGGGGTATTTTGGATTACAACTACCCTCCCATACTGTAATAGGTTTTGGTGTTTATACTTTATACTCTGCTCCTGCTCCAGTTAAGATTGTTTACAGTCACAGCTTCTAGCTTAGGGATCCTTTTTTTGGTAGAAATAGGTGGGATAAGCAATATTAATTACCGTACATATTTGTTGGTTTCTGAGGTTGTGAGGATAAAAACATTTCCAAATGATATTCTATTTTTTTAATCTTTTTTTAATTTCAGTGGGATTTTGTCTTCTTTTGAGGCAATGCAGTTCTTTTCACACAGGCAAGATGAAAGGAAAGTTAACGTTTGGAATATTTGATAACCATTAAGATGTCGCTGGAGGTTTAACATCTAAGTTCTTCATATTTTGGACCTTTCTTTAGTTAAAAGAAGCCCAATATTTTGTATTAATAAATTATAAAAATTAAACACCTACTTTAATTGTTTGACATAATTTATTATGCAAATGTTATATCAGACAACAAAGCCTTCTTTGTTATGACTTTTTCTCTCCTAAATTGTGATTTTTACTATTTGTTAGAAATGCTTTTTTTTAAAAAAACAACTATCTAATGTTTTAGATTTAGTACCAATTAGCAAGTTTCATCCAGTCCTGGAATGCAGATTATATGCATGTTAATATATGTCTATGCAGTATTTATCATGCCAGCTCCTTGGATTGCTGCTGTTTTTCTCCCCTGAGGTCACTGATTGTTAAGTGTTGCTTTATAGTTGCACTGTTGCTGTCACTGTTGTTTCCTTTCATTATTATTATTGCAGAAACTGGATAGAACTTTTAGAAAACCAAAAGCGCCTATTCCCCTTAAAGACCTAACTGGTGCTTATGTGCCATCTGCATGTTGCTGGAATGGGATGGTAGCCATATGACCTCTAGTGTACAAATAAGGAACTATGTGGAACTGTTGGGTGAATAATTGAATTCAAATCTTGATTGAGGCAGGGAAACCTTGCTTATTAGCTACTTAATTATTATTAGGGCATTTATCTCCAATTAGAAAACTTAAAATATTTTGTTGCATCAAAATATGCAATTGTTGTGGCAAAGTTGTAGCATCAGGCCAATTGGGAAAACAAGGCCTCTGTTCTATTTGTTCTAGAGAGGTTTGTTATTGTGTGTAAACCTGCATCTCTCAAAAGTAGCAACAGTAGTAGCTTTACTTAGTTAGTACCTATAACTAAGCATGTAATAACATATATAACCTGCAGTATTTCGTTTGCAAATAAAACTCAATTAAAAATTAAAGCCAAATAATTCCTTGGCACAATATAAACATATCAACCTGGTTCAGTAAATTAAAAACCAACTGGCACAATAAAATCAACTAAATACCATATAAAACATATGAGCATAAATTAAATGTCAATATTTCAAACTGTCAAGAAGAGGACTAACTGCTGTTATTCCAGTGCTGTAGTGGAGGATGTGTGTATGTGCCATCTGACAAAAACCTGCAACTTCATTGGGTTTTTTTGTGTGGGGGTTACTACCAAGTAGTTAGTGGACCATAAGTAGCCTGTCTCCTTTTGCTCTTTTCATGGCTTCATCAAATAACAGGTCTTCTGCTTCCACAACGGTATATTCGGCTTTGTGGTCATGATATTTTAGATGGAATATTCATCTGCAAGTTTCGGATGCTGTTGTCAGCAGTTGGTTTATTAAGTTTCTGCTTGCCATTTCCCATTATATTTCATCCCCCCCCCCCATTTTGCTGGAATAAGTTCTGAAGTCATTACTCCTTCAGTCCTTATTGAAATTTGCTAATTGTTTTACTTTGTTTCATTTTAGGGTATTCTGGGTTTTCTTCATCTTTTCTTTATTGATTTCACTGTCTTCTTCTCCAACATATAAAATAGTAAAACTGTAACAAGAGCATCATATGACACAATGTGTTTAAAATATCGCAATAGATTATGCTGCTATTTTTCTGGAACTTGATATGCAAGAAGAGAAATCTGAGAATAAGACATAGAAGTCTAAGCTCAAAGCATCCAAGTTCAAAGTATATGTCAAGGAGAGCATTCTTGATCCACAGCATCACACATCCTTTTACTGTCTTAGTGATTAAATGGTAAGGATCACCTAGCTGTTGCATTTTCTATCACTTTTCCTGTTGACACTGACCTAATGTTTGTTACATCAAAATTAGACCAGCTTGTAGACAAGAGATCATTATAATTTGTCTGAAGGAAAAAAAAAAGCCCGAGGAAGGGTCCAGAAATTATTTAAATAATCTGCTTGGATTACTATTCCACAGGAGGTACTAATGATTTATTGCCTAAAATGCAAATGCTGGTTGCTAAGCAACTAATTATACAACATACCCATGCCTATATCCAGATGTGATGGTTGTCTTACAATCCTTTTTGTAGATGTTATTGCCTTTTAGACCATAACTATCTGCTATTCTGGCTTTTATCCTTTTTGGTGGCATTTGCTTTGACAGGGATAGTTAGAAGGTTCCTCTGCATTGGCAAAAGATGGATAACACTATATATTAACTCATTCTGAGCTGTTGCAATTGCTTATGGATCTCAATCCTTGTGAATCTCTGATTCAGGCAATAACTTATGGCTTGTTGGGCCACAATTAAGGCTATGACCTGATAAATTTTGATTGTTTATCCCACTTTCAGAAACCAGCTGGGTCAAAGCTGCAATATTGCCATGCAGAAAGTGGCTGTTAATGCTACATCTGTTAACCATGTAAAGCGTTGGATAAATACTATTATGCTGATATATTAGTGAAAATGACACCTCAAGAAAATCTGGATAAAACTTGAAGATGGTATAAGTGCTTAAGTGAGAAAATAGCCTGAACTGTCTAATTTAACAATTTTGAAATAGATATATAATGTACAAAAAAGCAAATAAACTGCTACAGATTTTTTTAAACAAAATAGTTGAACATTCATGAATAAATCATCATGGAAAAGCAGAATCCATTGACAAATGGGTTTTCTCTTTATTTTCACACACCCTGGAGATCTGCTACCAAGGCTCCCACAATCATATAAAAGAGATTGTGTGAGTGCACAAGAACAAGAGAGACAAATGACAAAAGTTAACGGTGTGAACTTGTGTGAGGTTAAATTACTCCCAGTGTGTTTTTGGTAGTCAGGTTTGAGAGAGTGGTTTGCTACATTTAAGCAGCAGCCACTGCAGACTACTATTAGAACTGAGCTATACACCACTGCATCCATATGCTCAATCCAATTTAGTCGGCATGGTAATGGTGGAGAAGGATGATAGGATATGAGAAAGCTGCCTGTCAGCTTTCAGCCAGAACTGGCCTCCTCCTGTTCTTTACTTCCAAAAAAGACACATCATGGACGAGCCCTGGTGGTGCAGTGGTTAGAATGTATAGTGCAGGCAAACTCTGCCTGCAGCCTGAAGTTCAGTCCTGATGGGCTCAAGGTTGACTTAGCCTTCCATCCTTCCAAGGTTGGTAAAATGAGGACCCTGATTGTTGGGGACAATATGCTGACATTGTAAACGGCCCAGAGAGTGGTAAAGCACTATGGGGTAGTAGTTAAGTCTACCGTAAGTGCCATTGCTATATCCTTTAAAATATTGATAGTCTCTTAGAAGCAAACTAAGCATATTTCCTTCCCACAAATGCTGCATAAAAAGGAGCAAGTAAATAATCTGTGTGATTGTTCCTTCATCCGCTGCTCTGGTCTTCCTCTCTACAAATTCTTTCCATAACATATGGAGCCTTTCCCCATTGTTGATTTAGTGCCTATCATCTCTGAGGCAGCAGAAATATAATAGCATAATAGGGCTGATTTCCATCCTTCCTTGATTGCCTCTGTTGAGTTAAAGTTATATTGGTTGATTTCTTTGTTACCTCCTCTGCATAACTCAGCCTGCAGACATCCCCTAATATAGAATATAGAATAACAGAGTTGGAAGAGACCTTGGAGATCTTCTAGTCAACAACCTGCTTATGCAGGAGAACCTATACCATTCTGGACAAATGGCAGTCCAATCTCTTCTTTAAAACTTCCAGTAGTGGAACACCCACAACTTCTGGAGGCAAGTAATCATAGTACTGCAGCAGGAAATTTGGGCAGGGGAGAAAGGCTGGCTACAGGATTCTATCCATCATCTGTGGGCTTCTTCCCTTCCTCCTTTCACTTTATATTCTTGTAGCATGAGCTGAATAGAAAACATTAAAAACCTAAGGAACTGAATCACAAACAGCACTTTTCCTTAGGAATCCTCTCCTTTTCTTCCTATAGACAACACATCCTTGCCTACAGATCCTTCCATCTTCTATGGTAGTTCCATAGGCAAATAGGCAGAGCAGGGAAGAATTGGTTACCTGTACAATCTTATTTTAGGCTGTTTCCCAAGATGTTTCTATTAGAGAATTTTAATTTCTCTATTGGTGAAAAAATAAATCAGAAGCTCTCACAGTTGACTGCATTTAGCTGATTCAAAATAACTTCTTTATACTTATATCAAAATATTTACAATACCATACATTCTTCTTTACAGCAACATAGCACAATGAAGACTTCTTACAGAGAGATACAGAGACAGACCTGAGACTGAAAATTCAGCTTCTAACTCAATACCCTTTTGCACAGACTCAGTAGCACTTTCTTCACATTGGCTGACTGAGTTACCACGTGACTCTTCCTGCTCATGAATATTCCAACACTCCTTCCTTCATGACAGGAAGAGACATCAGACCTATTGACTTAATACATTTTCCATAGTGAACACCACCCGATGGTTTAGTCATCATGTCTGCCAAATTATTCTCAGAAGAACAATGATGTAAACTAATCAATTTTCCCTTTACAGCTTCCCTGACATTACAATACTTAATGTCTACATGTTTACTTCTGTTCTTCACTCTATCACCAGTTGCCATTTTTATACAGGCAGCAGTCTTCAAATACCTTTACAGATTCTTTTACATTAATATTTAAATCTTGCAACAACTGTACATACCATGTTACTTCAGAACACAATTCAGATAAAGCAATGAACTCTGCTTCTGCTGTTGAAATAGCAACAGTTGTTTGTTTTCTGGACTTCCATCCAATCAGAGTCCCTCCAAACAATATTATAATCCCAGAATTTGATTTCCTTGACTTGTAATGCATCCTTTGCGATGAAGCAAAGATCATCCACAAATGATAACAGTAGACAATTCCCTCCTTGTAATTGTCCAGTATATATACAATTATCAGCTTTGCAACTTTTAAATCCAAGACCCTTTAAAGCAGTATCCAAACAGATATTCCAGTTTCTGGCTGACTGCTTCAGCCCATAAATAGCCTTGTTTAATTTATACACCATGTTAGGTTTTCATATCCTGATGCTTGGATCATATACATTTCTTCCTCTAACTCAGCATTGAGGAATGCAGTTGTGATATCAAAGTGTCAGATTTTATGCTTATATGCCGCTGCCAACGCCAGTGCTAATCTTATACTCTCACTTTTCACAGTTGATGCAAATACTACATCATAGTGCACATTCTTTGTGAAAAACTTTGTGCCACTAACCTGGCCTTATACTGTACATCATTATTTCACAATACCTTTTTCTTATATACCCACTTACAACCCACAGCTTTGGTTCCTTGTGACAAAGTCACTGATTTAAATACTTCATGGTCTCCCATGGATTTCATCACTTTATCCATGGCCTCTTTCCATCTTTCTTGTTCAGCTTTTGGTAATGCCAACACCTCTTTATAACTTCTTGGCTCATACCACACATTGCAAACCTTTTCCTTGCTGGCAGAATACCTGTCAGGCAGAATTCCTTTGTTACATCGCTCTGACTTTCGTGGTATTAACTGCTCCTGTGTCTCAAGTCTTTCTGGTTTCATGTCTTGTTTAGCCTCTCCTCCCTGAACATTGACATCTTCAATAATCATTTTTCCATCATTAGATGAGTTATTGTCATTAAATAGATCACCATCATTAAGTGGGATATACCCAGAATTTGCATTAATTCTGTCCCAATTTTGTTCTGCAAAATTAGCAGACCTTGAAATTACAGTTCTTTTACTTCCATCGCTAAAGCGATATCCTTTTGACCCTGGCTCATAGCCCACAAACCTGAGTTTTCTTGCATTTTGCTGTCCCTTTCTTCTGATTGCTTTCGGAATATGTACCCATGCAGTACTTCCAACAATTCTCAAATGTGCCAGTGATGGCTTTCTCCCATATAGAATGGCATACAGAGTATTATTAATGGAGGAACTCCGCAGCCTGTTAACTATATAATTGGCAGTCAATATGCTTCTCCCCAATATGACCTGCTCATACAAGAATCCTCTAATAATGAATCTTTCATTGTTTGCAAAACACCATTCCTTCTTTCAGCTACACCGTTCTCTGCTGCTGTGTAAGGATTTGTACGTCTGTATCTTATTCCTAACTGCCCCAACCATTGTTGGAATTTAGTTGACATAAATTCAGTACCTCTGTCAGTTTGTAACTGACACACTTGTTGTCTGTACCTTCTCTCTACAAAACTTACCCACTGTTTGAATTGTTGTAGAACCTCTGTCTTACCTCTAAGCAAGTAGCAAAATGCATATCTGTTATAATCATCAACAATTACCAGTGCATATTTTGCTCCTCCCAAATTGGCTTGCATAGGTCCCACCAGATCTGCATGGACCAGCTCTAGAGCTCTTTTTGTTTGTCTTGTGCTATATTTATTAACTGGGAATGCCTTTGACTTCGATGCTTTGCATACTGCACAGTCCAAATATGTTTTGCATCCCTTCAAATTTAGTCCTTCTGCAAACTCTTGCATTTGCTGCAAAACCTTAAAGCTTGCATGGCCAAATCTTCTGTGTAGAAGATGAACACACAAATCGTGCTCTGCAACATTTTTAAATATATGGGAACATTGAACCTTTTGTCCCTGCAATACATATAGATTATCTCCCTTTATGCCTTCTGCATAAATATTCCCATTCCTTTTGATGAGACACTTCCCATTTACAAAAATGATCTCAAAACCTTATTTGTCTAAATTAGACACACTTAACAAATTATGTTCCATCTCAGGTACACAAAGCACATTGGTAAACTTTGATTCCAAATATGGAATTTTTACATCGCCTTTTCTGATGACTTTTGCTTTCTGGCCATTTGCCAAAGCCACAGCTTCTTGTGTCACTGGAACAAACCTGCAAAATAATTCAGAGTCATTAACAATTGTTTGACTTGCCCCACTATCTATTAGCCACTTGTTTCTATTGTTGCTATAGCAAACTTTTGCAACACCAAAATGTTCCTTTTGCAAATCAGTCTTCTTTGCTTGCACAAATGTCCTTCGCTGCAAATTGTTCCTCTGCAAACAGTTCCTTTTCAGATGTGTGTTTGCACCGCAAATATAGCAATTCTTTTCTTGCTGAGCCCTCTGCTTGCAAAATCTCTCTTTTGATGCAACTTGGTCCCATCTGCTTGTTTCTTCTCTGGAGACTTGCAATCTGGACCCCCTCCTCAGGAATTTCACCTCCTCGTGGCTGCTCCTAAAATGGCGCTTTTTTTCTTCATTAAGCAAACATACCTTTAAAGCCTCAAAATTTAAGTCTTGCTCTTCTTTACACTCAAATATCGCAGAAACTGTGTCCCAGGTTTTATCTAAACTATTCAACACCAATAAAACCTTCTGGGACTCAGGAAATTTAATCCCACGTTGTTCTAAGTCCAAAAATAAACTTTGCATTTTATTTAAATGCTGTTCCACAGATTCACCTGTAAAGTTTTCTTGACAATTGCACTATATTACATGCAGAAACATTCACGTGCACAGCTCTCAATTTCAACCAAATCTCCTTTGCAGTCTTTAAATTTGCAACATTTAGAAATTGTTCATCATCTAAATTCAAGATGAGATAAGCCATTGCTTGATCATGACTTTTCTGATCAGCAGCTGCAAACACTTGTGGTGAATTATCTACAATATACCACAGCTCTTTAGCTTTCAGCAAACATTCCATTTTAGCAGCCCACACAATGTAATTCTTCTGGCCCAAACGAGGCACAGAGCTTTCCTTAAATTCCATTGCAGCCATTGTGCTAATTCTGCCTTGTTCTTATACTTTCTAAACACAGACAATTTTTTTTCAGCTTTAAATTACAATGCAGTCCTTAGTAAGCTCTGAGCCCATAACCTATTAGAGAATTTTAATTTCTCTATTGGTGAAAAAATAAATCAGAAGCTCTCACAGTTGACTGCATTTAGCTGATTCAAAATAACTTCTTTATACTTATATCAAAATATTTACAATACCATACATTCTTCTTTACAGCAACATAGCACAAATGAAGACTTCTTACAGAGAGATACAGAGACAGACCTGAGACTGAAAATTCAGCTTCTAACTCAATACCCTTTTGCACAGACTCAGTAGCACTTTCTTCACATTGGCTGACTGAGTTACCACATGATTCTTCCTGCTCATGAATATTCCAACAGTTTCATTATTATCCTGTTTCATGCTGTTTGAATACCTAGCAAGTAGGGTTTTTTTCCTTAAATTCTACTCATGGTTGTATCCAACTCTCTATGGAAGGAGGAGTAGAATAGCAATGCCCCAGTAACCTGGAATGGGCAATAAGTGATAATCTTTGCTACTTGTCACCTGAATTCACACAATAGGTGCCACAAAGTAAGATTTGACACACCTTGCATGGTCCCTGAATGCCTAAGAAGGGAGATGCCACCACTGCTTCATCTCTAAATGTATTCATGTGCCAAAAACAAGATAAATTGACAGGGCATCTACAAGTGAATATATTGCAGTTGGTGCTTATGGTTAAGTGTTGTTGTTGTTAATTGCGAAGTCGTGTCTGACCCATCGCGACCCCATGGACAACATTCCTCCAGGTCTTCCTGTCCTCTACCATCTTCTGGAGTCCATTTAAATTCACACCTACTGCTTCAGTGACTCCATCCAGCCATCTCATTCTCTGTCGTCCGCTTCTTCTATTGCCCTCAATCTTTCCCAACATTAGGCTCTTCTCCAGTGAATCCTTCCTTCTCATTAGGTGGCCAAAGTACTTGAGTTTCAACTTCAGGATCTGGCCTTCTAAAGAGCAGTCGGGTTTGATCTCTTCTAGGACCGACCGGTTTGAACGCCTTGCAGTCCAAGGGACTCGCAGGAGTCTTCTCCAGCACCACAGTTCAAAGGCCTCAATTCTTTTGCGATCAGCCTTTCTTATGGTCCAACTTTCACAGCCATACATTGCAACTGGGAAAACCATGGCCTGGACTATGCGTACTTTTGTTGGCAGGGTGATGTCTCTGCTTTTTAGAATGCTGCCTAGATTTGCCATAGCTTTCCTCCCCAGGAGCAAGCGTCTTTTAATTTCTTGGCTGCAGTCCCCATCTGAGGTGATCTTGGAGCCCAGAAAAATAAAATCTGTCACTACCTCCATTTCTTCCCCATCTATTTGCCAGGAATTGAGAGGGCCGGATGCCATGATTTTGGTTTT